GCTCAGTGTCTTTTTTTAAAGTAATATATTCCTTAAAAGTAATAAACAGGCCATTTTGGCGTTTGGAAAAAAGGAATGAACTGAGGCCGATCCTCAAAGCCCTCAGCACTCCTCCTCTGGCGATCTAAGTGATGCCCAGCACTGTGCTGCGTAAGCATGATGCTGCGTTTGCGGCGGTCCTGGATGATGTCCATGCCGAGGTAGTAGCGCGCCTCTCCAAGGTCTCGTACTGCGAAGCAACCAGCTATGGCCGCCTTGGTGGCCGCGACCAATTGCAGGTTGTGTGCCGCCACCAGCATGTCGTCAACGTGCACGAGCACATAAATTGAGCCGTCGGACCCGCGCTTGACGAATAGTGCGGGGTCGGACATAGACGGCTCATAGCCTAGCTTGCCCAACTCCGCCGCCAGTTTCTCGTACCAGCAGCATGGGGCTTGCTTGAGGCCGTAGACGGACTTTAACAGCTGGCACGCCTGCGTCGGGTCGCCGTTGCTGTAACCTGGTGGCTGTCGCCTCCACAGCTCCTCTGCTAGGTCGCCTTTTAAGAAAGCCGTTTTGACGTCCATCTGATGGACCGTCATACCCCTGGCCGCTGCCACAGCTAGAAGTGCCCGCAGGGGGGCTGCACGCGTGGTGGGTGCAAACAGCTCTCCGTAGTCTATGCCCGCGCGCTGTTCAAATCCCTTCACCACCAAACGCGACTTATAGCGTACCTCACTGCCTGGCTCCTGTTTGATCTTGTAAACCCAGCGGCAGTCCAGGATGCGTGCACTGGGCGGTGGTGTGCCCGACTCCCATGTTTTGTTGGAGAGCTGCGACAGGATCTCGTCATCCATTGAACTCTTCCACTTGTCAGCTTGCGGACTCGCCACCGTTTCCTCATAATTGCGCGGCTCCTGCACCGCGCTGTTGCCTCCGCCGTCCACACTGCCGTCGGGCATGTTAAGCTCCTGTGCAGCACTATTGTGTCCACCGTTGGCACTGCCGTCAGGCACGTTAAACTCAGCGTGATCGGTGCTACCCGACGCTTTGTTAAGCAGCGGTGGACTACCCAAATCTTCGTCGCCGCCGCTGCTGTTGTTGGCCAGGCTGACCGGGGCCAGCGGCGGGTGCAGCGGTTGCTGTTGACTGCGAGTGTCAGGGTGGAGGGGGGGTGCTGGGTTCACTGGGGGCGGGGCATCCACTTGAGTTGGCGGTGTGGCAGGCTGTGTTGAGCCGCCGCCAGGGTCGCTGCCGCCAGGACGGGTGGGGCTGGTGCTGAAGGGGGTGCCCGCCCGTTGAGATGCCGGGCCACGGTGCTCGTCATCGAAGGTGACGTCGCTGCTAACAGTCACCTTGCCATCAACAAGGACGCGGTGGGCGGCCGTGTTGCGCTCCGGTCCAAGGTAGGTTCCCGCCTTAGCGTGGGGACCGAGCTTATCCTGCTGGCTGGCTGGGATGCAGACGTAGGCCAGGCAGCCAAAGGTGTGCAGGTGGCTGACGTCGGGGGTGACACCATGATAAGCTGCCCACGGCGTGGCCTCCCGGCCCTGAGAGGGAGCCACATTGCGCAGGAGGTTGGTGTAGAGCAAAGCCTCCGGCCAATAGCTGTCCGAGAGGGCGGCATCGTACGGCATAGCCCGCACACGGTCGAGGAGCGTGCGATTGAGCTGCTCCGCTGCTCCGTTCTGCTCCGGGGTGTACAGCGCCGAGTGGGTGTGCGCAGTGCCGCGCTGGTGTAGCCACTGCTCCAGTTGCTCGGCGACATACTCACCACCGTTATCACTATGAAGTGTGCATACCCATGCATGGTTCGGGTGGCGAGCCTCCAGCTGCGTCACCATGTCCTGCAGCACTTTGCCCACTTGGTTTTGGCTAACCAGCGTGCGAACGGCAGACAAACCGGAGGCACCATCCAGCAGTGTTAGCAAGTAACGTGCCCCACCTCGGCCCGTGGTCGGCATGGGCCCGCACAGGTCAGAGTGCACGACCTCCAGTGCATGCTGAGGTCGGTTGCCGCGGCTGACGTGGGCTGTAGCTGTGGTCTTCACGGTGACGCAGGCTTCACAGACGCCGTCGGCCGCCTGATGCAGCACCGCTGGAATGACCCGTGGTCCATGCACCAGCTGCTTGGTGATGAGCTCCTCCAGCGCCCGCTAACCGAGGTGGCCGAACTGGCGGTGCAGGTGCTGTGCTGCTGTGAGTTCGGCGACTGAGCACTCAGTGGCGCCTAGTTGCCCTTGGCCGTTGCTGCTGTTGTTCGGCTGGTCTCCGCCGGCGCCACTGCTGGTTGTGCTGCCATCGCGGGTGCTGGGGGCGTCGGCGGCACTTCCGCCAGCGTCGCCACCTCCGCCGGCTCTGTCTCCCGCGGCGCCGAGCGCGTTGACGGCGCGTTTGGTCGGCGCCAGCAGGTCCACATCCATGACGTAATGCCCGCACTCGCTCCATGCGGTGATAGACAAGCTGCTGTGCGGGAGGCCTACACGCGAGAACCGGCGGCCCGTCTTGTCTGTGCGAACGTGACCGAGCAGCCGCGCGTCACGAGAAGGTCGACAGACATGAGTGTGAGTCCCGAGCTGGGGACATGTAGCACATTGCGCAGCCAGACGGATTCTCCATCGTGCGTCCTAGGAGCAACTGCCCTGTTCCCATGACGTCGGCTAGCTGATTGTTTCCCAACTTGATCTGCTGAGGCGCGCCGACAGGGATGTAATTGTGCATCAAGGAACGGTCACCCGTGAGGTGGTAAGGTGAGCCAGAGTCTAGGACAACACGTGAACTGCTACCACTGCCATCGACGAC